CCGAGGATCCTTCAGGCACGATAGGTGTAGCCGATTTGCCAGATTCAGCGTGGTCAGACACAACAACATCTTCTGCTGCCATGTTAAAATTATGCCAGTATAATATTTTCTAGCTTTTCGGTTACGGCAGCAACAGGCTGCTTGAAGTTGCAGCAACAGACTGCATTATGTGGTCCCCAACAACAACGGGATGTATACCCTCAAAGTCATCTGGTTGCTGTCCAGTAGACGCAATGAGACCTGCGCAGGTCCTATAGCCATATGCTGCAGAAGAGGCAGAACAACAGCAGACTGTCTCACGCGGGTATCAACAGAATTTTTTTTTTTTCAGCAACAGACTGGTTGGAAGTCGCAGCAGTACGCTACGCTCCCTCCATCGCTGTCTTGAAGGCCTGTTTGTATGCTGCCTTCAGAGCCTTTTTGGCAACAGCTATCTTGGCTGCCTTACCGGTTGGGTGGGGTGGCTAAGATCGTGGAACAAAGAGAACGGGAGTGTGACACTCGCTGGAGTTAACCTCCTTGTTCTCTTTTCCATCTGCGCCAATCTGAATATCATCATTCAGATTTCTGTCACCTCTATCGCACGCAACGTCGATCATACATTCGTCATCACGTAGGTTCTGGGGATCATGTGAGAAGGGAGTTCTTTTTTTTTTTTTTCGCCATCTTAGATTTCATAAATTCACTTCAAGATTGTTGGAAATTAGTTTTGGCAAACTCGGAGATATAGTAAAATCCGAAAACCAAAAATCAGATGATTTTGAAATCGAATATAGGATGCAAAATCAAATCTGAGCCTCTCGTGGCACACAATTTCCTTGAAGCGAATTCGGTCCTCCATCGATTGCCTCCCAAGATAGAATGAATTGTGAATAGAATAACATATTCCGCAAACTGAACTAGAAAATTTTTTTGAAGGAAATTTGCAGAGAATTTTCTCTGAGGATTTAGAAGAGAGATTTTCAGATTTGTTGAGAATTGACTTTTTTTTTTCTCGTATTTCATATATGATATTATTTTGTATTTGATCATCCGAAGAGAAAAAATTGTCCACTTCTGCACGTTGCATTTAGTTGCAACAAATTATTTCATCTAATTATTTAATTTTTTCCAAGTCAAAATATATTAATCATATAAAATGTGGCACAAATCCATTTATTCATCTTTCACTTTTTTTTTTTAGTTACATACCCAACTATCCCTCTATGAAAGAGGAAAACGATGACTCTATGAAAGAAAAATGAATTCTGCATAGGATAAGTAGGTTTTTCTTTAAACTTTCCTTTAAGTAGTACGTAGTCTTTACCAATTGTCTAGCAGACATGTCCTTAAAGTGTTCATTTTTTTTTGTAAGTGGGCTACATACCGACACATAATTCATTTTCCTAGTTCGATTCTCATTGTTTGGTCCATTTTGGCCATGGAACTTGTCTTGGTTTTGCGAGAGTTTATAAAGAACTGAGTCTGAACAATTCTTATTTGAAACGTCGCCACTTCTCTCTCACATAGGTGATCTTTCTATGTTACCAAGTGATATAACACTCACTTATTGATCATTAAAGCAATTATTTGCTATACTCTCTACTCTGTCACTGTTCGTTGATAGGAATTGGTAGAGGTTATTATCTCCCTCATTGACACATATAAGTCTTATAGGCGGGTTATCTTATTGAACCTAGTTTTTAGGATCTCTAATCTTTCTAGGTTGATTTTTCCTTTATAAAACGGTTTTCTCAGCAGGCTTAAGTTCCATTCCTATAGTCAATTTATAAACTACATCATGATTTAACCCTTTAGTTAGTGGATCCGTTAGGTTATCCTTTGACACAACATGATCTATTGCAATAACCTTAATTGTAATAAGTTGTCTTATGGAATTGTGTTGACTACATTGGCATTGCTGCGGAGCATCAAATGTCCTCTACTTTCCAAGTTAGATCTATGCTCATTTTTAATTTGGTGGCGATTGATCAGTCTCGCCATGTCCATTTCCTTCATTTTGTATTTCATGTAAATCTTGAAATCACACAAACTAGGCGACAAATTTTCAATTATCGTCGCCACTTGGAAGGCTTCACTTAGCTCAATCCCTCGGCCTTGATTTCATGTGGAATCAGCTGAAACGCATCAAGCTGCTTTATAACACTTTTTCTGTTTACCTCTTGAAATCCAAAAACCGTCCCACAATAAACTTTTTGGCACTAACATCCTCGGTTATGTACTTTTTTCTCCAATATCTCCCATCGCTACTTAGCCATTTGCGCATGTCGGTAGGCACTATATAGGTCGCTCAACCCATTCAATACATAATTTTGCACATCAAGTTTGAACCTTTTCAGGCGTTCAGAATTTGTGTTTTATGTTCTTTCGAGGATCATTCAGGCACAACAGGTACAACAAACCTGCCATATTCAACGTGGTCAGACACAACAACATGTTCAGCTGCCACGTTAAAATTTTGTTAGTTGAATTTTTTCTAGCTTCTCAGTTGCTGCAACAATAGGCTGCTTGAAGTTGCAGAAACTATATGCTGCGGAAGAGGCATAACAACAACAAGTTGCCTCACGTAGGTATCAACATAATTTTTATTTTTTCTTTTTTTTTTCAACAACAGCCTGGTTAGAGGTTGCAACCACAGGCTGCGCTCCTTCTATTGCGGTCTTGAAGACCTGTTGCTACGCTGTCTTCATAGCCTTTTCGGCACCAACCTTCTTGGCTGTCTTATGAGTTGGGCGGGGTGGCTAAGATCGTGGAACAAGGAGAATGAGAGTGTGACACTCGCTGGAGTTAACCGCCTTGTTCTCTTTCCCATTTGCACAAATCTGAATATCATTATTCAAATTTCTGTCGCCCTCTATTGCACGTTGCGTCAATCATTCCTTCGTCATCAGGGGGATTACGTGACAATAGGGGAGTTTTTTTTTTTTTTTTTGCCATCTCATATTTCATGAATTCGCTTCAAGATTATTGGAAAATAGTTTTGGCGAAATTTGAGTTATAACAAAATCCGAAAAATACAAATCAGATAATTTTGAAATCGAATATAAGATGCAAAATCAAATTCGAGCCTTGCACAGCACACGATCTTTTTGAAGTGAATTCGGCTCTTCACTGATCGCCTCCAAGGATAGAATGAATTCTGAATAGAATAACTGATTCTGCAAAGTGAATTAGAAAGCTTTTGGAAGAAAATTTGCAGAGAATTTTCTCTGAGAATTTAGAAGAGAGATTTTCATTTTCTTTAGAATTGTTTTTTTTTTCCTCGTGAAGAGAAAAAAATATAATATATATAATAAAAAGTTGCCCATTTCTGTTTGTTGCATTCCGTTGCAACAAATTATTTTTCCTGGTTATTTAATTTTTTTAAGTCAAAATATATTAATCAGATAAAATGTGGGATAAATCCATTTATTTCTCTTTCACTTTTTTTTTAATTAAATATCTAATAATATGACACCCACCAGAATCGGCTATCGAAAAGGCACGATTTCTCACCGGAAAATCTCACCAACTCGCGGTTTCTTCCTCTTTGCTCTCCTACTCTTCCTCTCTCTGTATCTATCTATGGGTCTCCACCTATATCCAAACTCCCCATCTATTTCTATATCTAAAACTTCGCATATGTTAGTAGCCAATTAGAGAACAAAACTAACTATGAATATATATTTGGTTGGGCTTAGGATATAGAAAGATAGATTTGGGTTTGGGTTAAAGGATTGGACCGAGTTTGATGGGCTGGGCCAAAGAGTGAATCAGCTATTGTATTATTAACAAATTTGTTCGATTATGTCCGGAACTGCCAAAATTTACAACAGATTCCTAACTTTTCCAGCGTGGGATCATACTTTTGATGTTTAAGCGTTTACTTTTAATTATTTTAATTTTAAAAAAGACTAAGGGTGTATTTGATTTGTGTTTTGGTTTGAATAAATTTTTTTGATGTAAAGTATAGCAAATTGTGTAGATAATATAAAAATAATGAATATGTGTATTATATTATTTTTTTCTAAAAAATGTGTTTGATTTTTTTTTTTTTTTTTAAGAAACAAACCATAAAATATCACATTTTACCAGTAAAACTAAAATGAAGAAAGGTAAGGGACAATGGTAAATAATAATAACAAGAGAAAAAATTACGAACATATTATTCTAAGTACATTATTCAAGGCTGTTGACGTAATACAAAGAACAAACATAGATTCAGATTAACTCCTCATTTATGCTTTATACACATAGTAATGAAAATTAACTTTTGTTTGGTGATTGTGTTTTTGCTCTCCGTTTTCAATATTATTCATATACAATAACTTAATTTTTTTTTAAAAAATATTATATTATAATTGAAAACTCTTTTTTTTTTTTTTTGTATTTGTAATTTGTGAGGATTTGAATTTTAAAAGTTTTGAGGTAGAATAACAAATTAATATGGTATTTTATATTGATTCTATTCTTTATTATCTTTCTGCAAATAAGTATTTTAAGGGACAAAATCATATTTTATCAATTTTTTAATAAATTTTTTATAATATCATTAAAATATGGTTATTATTTCTGCGTGTCAACCAAACGTACGTAATTTTAGCAGAGGGAGTACATAGTAAAAATGGTTTTAAAATGTAAAAAGTGCAATAACCAATTATAGCAAGATTATCCCAATTCATAAGCACACTAATCTTGACCACATCTTCGCAGTATGAAGGGTTTTTATTCCTTCTTCCTCGTCCTTAAATTGTGGAAACTGTAAATTAGAACATGCAACATGCATGTATGTTTTGCAAACAAATGCACCCACCCCACCCCACACCACCCCACATTAATTTCCTTTGTTGGTGTGAGAAGAAACAGCGATCGATCATATGCATTGCAGATTTCTGACAGTGTCGGCTCTTTAATTAATTTGATGTCCTCATGAAACGTGATGCATCTGATTTCGCCAATACTTTATTTGGTGGGTTTATTTGTTGCTCTATTCTATAAATATGGAATCATGGAACACACATTGATTATCACTTTATCACTGTAGAAATATATCTATATATATATTTGTAATTGTGCTGCAATATTATCATCGGCCATCGTCTTCTTCATCCAGCCAGAATCGACACTGTGTAAAGAAAAGAAACATGAGCAGAATTTGTGGCACCGAACAGCCACTTGTTTTTCGTGATTCCAAAAATACTGCTTCAATCCCATTGCTCCAAGACCCCATCGTCAATCTTGATCAGTATGTTCTCAAAATTCACACTGTTAGATATACAGATTCATAGATTAATTTCTGTGTTTAAACTGATTTGATTTTACATTTTCGATGTAGAATAGTTGTTGGATTAAATATGTTTTATTGAAAATCTATGTTAGGTGTTGTTTTCAGAGGAAAAGAAATAGTAAAAAAATGTATCTGATTTTATGACAACAGTGGAGATCCGATGATGTATGAGTCTTACTGGAAAGAGGTGAGCGATAAGTATGGGGTGAGCACCGCCATCCCCGGGTTTCAATGCCTTAGTTATTTCGCCAATGCAAAAGGACTTTGCTGGTTTCTGGAGCCGAAGCTCGAAGAAGAAATAAAGAGGCTGCACAACAACGTCGGAAATGCACTTGTAAGAGATTGTCATGTCGTGGTCGGGACAGGCTCGAGCCAGCTCATTCTAGCTGCATTATATGCACTCTGCGACTCTTTAAACGAACCACATCCTATCGATGTCGTCTCAGCCTTTCCATACTACTCCGTGAGCCTTAGTTCATGCATTTTTTAAATTCGAAAAAATTACAGTTCGAAAAGTTGGCACCACATTATCCCTGTAATTAGTATTTTAAAGAAATATTGCACAAAATTTCTTAAAAATTGCATGAGATTCTCTTGTATTTTTTAAATATAACATACAATTTCTAAAAAGAAAAATTTTGTGCAATATTTTGAAAAAATAAGAAAGTAAAATGGTGCAAACTCTTCAACTCTTCAACGGATAAGTGGGTCATAAATAATTTTATCTTTAAATTTTGATCTTTATGCATGAATGTTTGACTTATGAATTTAAGACCGGATCTTGAACATATATGTGAATACAATAACAATAATAATAATAATAAAAAAAAAAGATAGGAAGTCAACATTGGCAGAATTTGGACAACGTTTCGGTGTGGTGAGACAGACAAACCATGTCTTGAGCTGAAGCTGTTGTTGGGAAGATGTCCAAGATCTCCCCAGCATAGCAACATGGGATTGTAACGATTAAATATATAGTTAATTATGCGAAATTAATTAATGCCCTTTTCGAATAAATCTTATGTATGTATGTTACAATACAGCTGTAAATTAATTAAATGTACATTTTGTTGTCGATATTTGGGGGTAAATTCATTTTTTTTGCATGCAGTCATATCCGGAGATGATAGAGTTTGTAAAGTCGGGGCTCTTCAAATGGTCGGGAGACGCTCGTGGCTTTGATGATAAGGATGGGAGGCCGTACATAGAAATTGTGACCTCTCCCAATAATCCCGATGGACTTGTAAGAGAAGCCGTCGTTAACGGACAAGGAGGGATGCTTGTTCACGACCTTGCCTACTACTGGCCACAGTACACAGCCGTGACTTCCCCTGCCCATCACGACATTATGTTGTTCACTGCTTCTAAGTGCACGGGACATGCAGGATCACGTATCGGGTAGGCTTCAACTTTTTTTCTTTTATTTTTTTTATTATATTATTTTATTATTTTTTTTTATGATATGGGAATCCGCAACAGCCATCCGAAAGTGCGCACTGGCTTCAACTTTTCTCATCTGTATTTGGGTTTTTTTTTTTTTTTTTTAATATAATAATTAGTGTATAAGATGCATTGAGTAAGTGACAACAATTGAAATATTTGATTAGTGACAAATATTTAAGATATTAAAGTTTACTAAATTAATTATAGTAAATTATCATATAATTTTATTAATTTTTTATATAAGTGAGGTTGTTGATCGTGTTAAAATAAGAATTAATATATAATTAAGAAAAAAAACTTAGAATGTATGCTTAAATATTTAAAAATTATATTTCAATAAAAATATATACAATATAACTATTACCTCTGTATAGAATAAAATTTTATATAATATAAATAAATTTTATTAAAAATGAAAGGTTTTGTGGGGATAAAAAGAGTATATTTTTTATTTAGGAGATACATATGGTTCGTTTGTTATTTGAAGTATTTTTTTAGATAAGTTATGAAGAATCGTGTTGATAATAAAAAATACTAATATTTTATATTGAATATTGATTTATTTGATGTATTTCTTTAGATAAGATATGAACAATCATTTTGGTAATAAAAAAGATTAATATTTTACATTGAATATTGACTTTTTTTTGGTGAAAAAATGAAGTATATATTATATATATTAGGAATCATATCGGGTTACAAAATTGTTGAGCAAACAAAGAAATTGAAGAGTTTTGACTACATAAAGTATGATATATCTTCTAGTTAATTAAGTTATCTATATTTGTTAAATATATTTTGAATTACTATAATTTTTAAAAAATAGTAACAATGTCTTTTATAGGATATAGTAAAATAGAATACATATGAACTTTTTTTTTTTTTTTATTACCACGGAGAGAGTAGATTTTTTAGATGTGATATTTTAAGAGGAAAATTGTGAAATTGCATAATAAAAAAATAAACAATGTAAACAAACTTTTCGATTTTCAACAAAATATGATGGTACTAAATTCACCTGACTGTTTATCTTAAGATGGGCACTTGTTAAAGATGAAAAGGTTGCGAGAAAAATGGTGAAGTTCATAGAGATCAATACCATTGGTGTGTCCAAAGAAGCACAGCTGAGAGTAGCCAACATACTCGAAATTGTTTCTCTAAGCTGCCAAAGGCACAAGCCTCGGGAGCTCGAGAACTTCTTCGAACACAGCCGGAATCTTTTGGCCAAGAGATGGAGGAAGCTAAGGGAAGCCGTTGAGAACACTGATATCTTCACCATCCCTAAATTCCCCCGTCGGTACTGCACTTACGCCCGAGACTTCACCGAACCATATCCTGGTAAGGAAATGCAAACCTTTAAAATATATTTAGAACCAATATATATATTTATGGTAGTTATCTTAAATTCGTAAAATTTTTGCCTTATTTAGACGATTTATATATCTATTCTTATGATTTTAGTTTCATATTCTAACATTTTTTAAGGGTGTGTTTGTTCGTGGATTTTAGTTTTTGGTTTTGAATTTTTGAATAGTAAAATATTGAATTTGAATAGTTGTTTTGATGTGATATAAATAGAGGTTGATGCAATGTTTTTTTTAATGTAAACAAATTTATAGTGTAATATAAAAAAAAAAAAAAAAACAAGTAACTGTAAGAATCTGAATAGTAAAAACATGTAGTAAAAAATTCACAAAAAGAACACAACTTTAACATTCTCAAGAAATGGATTCTTGTACAATTTATACACAGTCTGCACTGCAATTATGGAATGACACAAATTTGCAAAATGCCGACAGCTTTTGCTTGGATTAAATCGAAAGAAGGCACAGACTGCGAGAAGCTGCTGCGAGGGCAGTGTAAGACTATGACAAGAAGTGGAGAGCGATTTGGGAGCGACATAGAGTATGCGAGAATAAGCATGTTGAGTAAGGACGAGGAGTTTGAAATGTTTGTGCGGAGACTGGCTGCCATAAAGATGTAAGGAGAAAGGTTGTGTTTGTGCTTTCGATATGTCTCTATCTGCACCCAGGTTACTATATATCCAATGTGGTGAGAAGAAGAAGAAGATGATGATGCAATGCAGACTTTCCTGATTAAGGTTTTTCATTACATGCAGCAGCTGTGGCTGTTGCCATTTCTTTTAGTTTCTGTAAGAACTGTAAGCAATACATTCGTTATACTTGTTGACGATTTTAAATTTGGAGTCTTGTCTTAAAAACATTATTAATACACGTTACTCTTCCAAGTTTACGATGAATTAATACACACAAAAAAAAAATGTACAATTTAAAGAAGATCTCAATAAAGTCGACTATTATTTAAAAAACTCAACAAGCAACAATATTAATGGAGTCACAGACAGGAGGTCTTCCAATGAAACCAGTGAATTCACCTGACAAAGAAGGTTGCAATCGTAGTTGCAATATAGGCAATCTGACAAGGTAAGCACAAACTTAGACTGGTACAAATTTATGTTGTTGGGAGGTGTTGATCCTAAAATTTGGAGGTTCCAAGAATGTTTGTTGATTTGTCGGTATGGGTTCCGAAAGTACTCCAAAGAGGCTGTCCGTTGTCGGATTTTGGGCGGCTCATTCGGTGGAGCCTGCACAGCTTCGATCTCACACGAGCCTTCGAACCTAAACGACCGATTTCGATGGATTTAAACTAACATCTACTAAAACTCGGATAAATCTACTGAAAAGCGGATAAAAATATGCTAGAGACATAAAGCCATGAAATTCGAATTAAAATGCCCAAAAATGAAACTAGAACATGAAAAGAAAATAGAGAAAAATACGAGTTGATCTTCTTGTGCCTATGTGTTTTGTGTTGTTTCCTTATTTTAATCCTAAGCTAGAATAACCACCTCTCCCACTAAAAGGGGCGGTTACAATTATTCTTCCACTGCTCTCAACCGTCTGGTAACCTCTCACTACTACCTCCAACTTCCTGGTAACCTCCCACTACTACCTCCAACTTCCTGGTAACCTCCTTCCACTGCCTCCTAACTATCTGATAACTTCATTCCATCAGCTACTTGGTAACCTCCTTCCATAAGCTCCTAACCACCTGGTAACCTCTTTCCATAAGCTCCTAACCACCTGGTAACCTCCTTCCATCAGCTCTCAACCGCTTCCATTGCCTCTGGACCGAGTTCCACTTGCTCTGAACTTCTTCCATTGCTTCTGGACCAGATCTACTGCTTACTCCGACTTGTTTCCATCGTACTCCTAGCCGGTCCACGGGGATGTATCCTCAACAACCTCGAATTAGATGGAATCTTCGGTTTTCCTCTTGTTGGCTTGTTCTATAGAGTTTTTTGAATAAAGTATGAGAGCGCATAGGCACTCCACTAATGGTAAGTACGAAATTATCAACCCGGGGCCAACGGAGGTAGTTATCCCATGATCTGTGGAAGCTGTTGCTTTCTATCTTGTGGAGGCAACATTCTTCTGCTTTGTGGAAGCACCGCAGTCCAATGGAGGTAGTTGTTTTCAACCCAATGAAGACATCACTTTCTGATCTTATGGAAACATTGTTCCGGGATAGAGTTGTCATAGTCTAAGGAGTTGCTACCCTAAGGTCCATGGAGGCTGCTGCTTTCGGCCATGTGGAAATACCACAATCCAATGGAAACTGTTGCCTTCGGCTCTGTGAGTTCAAGTGCTTTTGGACCCATGTCCAACGGGAGGATGAGGATAAGGATGGGAAGACAATAACTACTTTTTTTTTAGGTCTCAAATTCTTTTTTCTTTTTTCTTTTTTTTTTTTTTGTAGCTATCTTTTTTATGTTTATGTTAAAATCATATACTATGATAATCTTTTCGAAAAAATTAGCAAAAATTCCACGTCAATATATATGACAAGTTAAATCTACCAGTATTTTGTTGAAAGAAGAACGATATGCTATATATCGGTAAATTGAAGCTAAACATCTAAACCATCAAAAATTTTCCTAAAGCTACCTCATCTTATTTTCTTTTCCTAAAACTCCCTTTACATATATTTATATTTCTTTTAACTTCGAAATTTCACTTTTACCCTCGTACAAAACACCAATTTACAAAATTACTAAATATATTCAAAATCTTCAATATACGATACTCTTTTGCCCTAATTGTTTATCCAAAAGCGCTACCACAGTCATTGCCAAGTGTCGCCGCCGCCATCGCCAACCCCCTCTGCCATCGTTGCCGCCTTCGCCAGCCCCCACCGCGGCGCCGCCATTGTCGTCATTTGCCCGTCCACCGACAATGGCTCGCCAAAAGCAGGTATTTTTTTGGTAGAATTTGTTGTTTTTAGCGGAAACAATATGTTTCCGCGAGCTCACGGAAACATACCTGGTTTCCGCTGAAAACAGATATTTTTGGCGTGAAAGGTAATAATTTTGGATTGCGCATTTTCTTCATTCTTCTATTGGAATTACGATGATTTTCTTATCATCATTCTTTTTATATATTACGATAAAAAATATCAACAATGTTTAGAACACATTAATCTTAAAAATCTTAAAAACAACAAATAAATAGTATAAAACATACAAGTGTAGAGAATACCCGATTGATAAGAAAAAAACTAAACTACGGATTTTTAGCAAAAACTTTATGCGAACCGGCGACTAATCACGTGCGATTATGCTATGTGAGAATGGTGGAACAATTTTATTTTTTTGTTTGTTTGAAAAATTTAGATTATAAGGGCATATAAGTCTTTTGAGATGATAGGGGTATTTAAGTCTTTTTAATAATAATAATAGTCGATTGGTAAGTCATGTTTTAACGACAGATGCTTCATCATTGCTCGTGGGCTAACATCTACTTTTACTCCCTCAACGAACACCTTGTCAATCCATTTTTCCGCCTGATAGTTGGAATAAAATTCGTGAACGATGATGACGCAAGCTGCTTCAATTGGGTGTGCCAAAAGTTGTAAACCATTGTCCGAGGCCCGTTGAATAACTATAAGGGTCATAATCCGTAAGAACCTGCATAGCTAAAATTTTGAGGCGGAAGTTGTAGGTCAACTTGCTTGGTCATTAATGGAAGGCAAAATTTCTTGTGACTCCCCCATGTTTTCGAAATTCAACGTAAAATCTCCATGTACTTTAAAATTTACATGGCACCCTCTTGTACTTTCAAAATAATTGCATGAAAAAACACCACCTTGAAACAGGGGAATTCTGGGGAATTCTATGCAATATTTGGGGGTGCCATGAAATTTTTTAAAATAAAGTGGAGATTTACGCTGAGATTCGAAACCACAAAAGGGTTTCATGCAACATTTTTTTAAAGTATAAGGGAGTGTCATACAATTTTTAAAGTAAATGGGGGATTTACGCTGAGTTCCGAAACCACAAGGAAGTTATGGACAATTTTGCCTTAATAGAAAATAAAAGTCATTACATAAGACTAGAATGGTGTCAAAATATTAAACTACCTCTCATATTTTAATAATGATAACAATGCCCTAATAATAGAGATCACAATCATTAAAGGGCCTCCGCCATCGTATACACAAAAATGCTCAAGGAACTTTTATGCTTGTTTCAAGTATAAACTACTAATTAGGGAGTAATCGTAGTTATCGTCATCACAACTACATCTTAAAAAGTGATCCTTTGATATTTTTTACCCCAATAACGTTATCTGCAAAAAAAAAAAAAAAAAAAAAAAAACAATAGACATAGTAATTGAGTATTTTGAAGTCATCAAACCTACTAAGTATTACTATCACCACAAATCATATTCTTAAAATTATTAAAATGCCGTGGTGTAGGGGTTGGACTTGTGACCGTTTGGCTTGATTTGCAGGGGGCCAAGCGGGCCAAGCTGTGTATTGGTGTCTTCAATTTTGTTTTCTCACTGCACAATATATACTAAAATTAATTTCCCCAATATATTTCATCACATCCAAGACCTATTTATCATTTAAAATTTAAAATCTAATAACACATCAAAACATCCAAAACGAACACACCCTAAGTTATTAAATGTCTTTTTCAACTAAATAATTAATAATTATGTTATACTTGTTGATGAGCTTGATTTTACACATATTAACCTCACTTAATCAATTAAATTAGTTCAATTTTTGTTTTAGAACAGTTTAAACATCTTAAGGAAGGTCAAAGAAGCATAATATGACATATATATATATATATATAGTTATCCAGAGCAATCCAACTTGAGAAACACAATCATCAAGAAAAAAAATTAAGTCAAGCAGTTCAGTTTTCTAATTCTTAAGTCCTTGAACATGCACTAGCAGTCATAGTAACAATGCCTATTTAAGTTAATCAATCAGTGGGGTAAGAACAAAGCATATAACAAGAATCTGAATATAACACAATTCTCTAATATAAGATATGGCATGCGACCATCCAACTCATATCCATATAATAGCCAATGAAATTTGGGCAAGAAAGATTTACCAGCTTAAACAACAAAGGAGTATGAAACCTGCAGTACATCACATGCTTCATTACTGGAACGGAAAAGCTCTATTAACATCCTACATCAGAAGAAAGGATTTAAAAACAACATCTTAGGAAGCATGTGCAATGCAACAACAGACATAGATACTCTAGTAGTATCAGTAGCAAGAACTCTGAAGTTAAAAGCAACAATGAAATTTTGCATGCAGCTACAAAAATATTTAGAAGAGAAATTCCGCCTGGAAACATGATGAAAAAAAACTAATGCTCCATAAAATCTAGACGTTCATAGTTTCAACTACAAACCCACTTCGCCAAGGTAATCTTGATTAGATTTAAATAAATCTACGATCATACTTACAATTAGAAGAAGAAAAACACAAAAAAAAAAAAAAAAGGAAAAAATGGGACATTAAAGACAAAGATGAATAGCATTGTCTTTGGAAGAAAAAGAGATTGAGTTGACTGACAGTTAAATGGGCTGATAATAATCGAGAATCCATTTCAACGTGTGATTCGGATCTGGAGCTAAAAGGTTTTTTGCCATGCTTTGCAATAGATGGTTTTGCTCCAGCCTCAGATATCAAAACCTGATGAAAAGAACATTAATGCTTTCAGAGGTTGGAAATAAACCTATTACAGTAGACATGCTATATACAAAAGGCAATCACGATAAACATGTGACATAAACAATTTAAACCAAGCAACAAGAAATAAATCAACAATAAGCAAAAGAAAGGTTAATTCTTCATAAATTACCTTGA